ATTATCCCAGAGTGAGAAGCTACTTCATCTATTCTTTCCTCAATCCTATCAAAACGGTTGGAAGTTGCATTTGCTAGCTTTTCTATTGCTAAATCAAATTGATTAGAAAAATTTTCTACAGCTAGCTCCCAAGATGCATTAGAATCATTAGCTAATGGTTCATTTTCTAACTCCCAAGGTAGAGGTGCATTAGCTAACTTCTCTATTGCCAACTCCCAAGATAGTTTTGATTCATATTGGACACTTTCAGGTTGGTAATCATAAAAATATGAATAATCACTATAAGTATATTGATTATTCCAACCATAAGTATTAGCACTATATCGATCAAAACAGGGATTGTAATGCTCTAATTCATCATAATAATCAACATTTTGTACTTGCATACATGTATCGGTAGCATGATAACTTCCACACAAGTCACAAATCACATGATAAGAATTAAAAGCATTAACATTCCTTCCTTGCTCAATTTCATGCATAATTGTGTCCATTTGAACTTGTAGCATCATAACATCAAATTTAGCCTTTAAGCACCTTAAACCATCTTCAAAAGACATACATTCAGTAAATTCTTGGTTACCTCTGTTAAAGGAGCTCTGCACTTGGTAACCATCCATTGCCAATCTTCCACTTCTCAAGCATTGTCCTCCAAATTGACCTACCCTCCTTATTACCTAAAATTGCTTTTAAATAACTTAAGAGCAAGAGTAGTAAGAAGAATAGGTAATAAAACACATATACACATAAAACGCTAAAAATAACAGAAAATAACTTCAAACTATAACTAATAAAATGTCTAAACTAATAAAGTTGCTCTTCATACCGATATTGCCAAATCTTCCCCGACAACGGGGCCAAAAACTTGACGGGATTTTAATATACATATAAGTTAAAAAAAATCAAATTACACCCGTTCACTGCAAGTATACAGGTCAACTAGTAGTTTAGGGTATATATCGGGCCGATCCCACAGGAAAGAGTGAACAATTACCGGCAGTACTAAAGCTTCTCTATTATTTAGACTATCAATGAATTATAACAAATTTAACCTACTGAAATTATACAAAATAACAAGTAAAAGCTCCTTAGGTTGTGGTATCCCTAACTACTCATGCAAGTGCTATATTTGGATCATTGAGTACTACATCTAGGCTAGTTATGGTGTAATTTCCTTATGCATTTGAATCCTACTTTCGTAGTGAATCAATTATACTTATAACTAATCCATACCTATTCTCATGGTTATGAAATTAGCTACAAGTTCATTTTTTTCAGTGAAATTACATGAAATGAATCACTAAAAAGCACATAGGTGCACCTCTACTTTCGTGAGTGTACTCCCTATATTTAACACTTCTTGAACTAGTGTTAAATCTCAATTTTCATTACAGAAACAACACCTTAGATAATCACAATCTATGGTACAGATTAATCATAATTTAAAGAGTCAAAGTGCTAAATAACTTGCCCAAATCATAGCAATCAAATATCCACATAATAAACACTAACAATTATAGAAAGTTCAACCAAACTCAAGGCATAAACTTTAGAGACACATATTGAACACAAAATCCAGAACTTGTATATTAACTAAATTTGGAATCAAATACAAAAGATTAAGAGTTGGAGAAGAGATAATCCTTGTCACATGAGGTTCAACTCCTCATTCTTCATCTCCATCTTCATCCTAATCTAGCTAATATACAAGAATGGATGAACTATACTAGTCTACACTAAAACCAATCTAACACTCAGAAGATGTAAGAACTACATTTCTGCACTCCAAGCTTCTCCCGTATGTTTCTCTATATCCCCCTTCAATCTTGCAAGCTTTGGCTATATAAAGGTGAAAGTTGGTCAAGAAGTGAGATTTACACCTCCCTTTTACAGCTGGAAATGTTTCTCACACGTCTAGCATCACATGTGACTTAGTGGAGGTGAAATTGAGTTTTTTGCATCAAGAGCAGACTTCTCTGACCACAATCCGGCCAGAAATCCGGCCAAGTTCCGGCTGGATTGCTACAGTGAATTTTTGTGCACTTTTGTTCAATTTTCAGCTCTGCTCCGATTTTACGTCAACTTCAACTGAACTTTTATTGATGATAAAAACTGATTTAGTTCTTGACAAAAACATGAAACTTGTAGCCCTTTGAGTTAAATTTCCAATGCATCAAGAATCACCTCATTTGGATCTGTGTAGGCTGAGAAATGATCGAAATACCCTTGACTGCTCAATGCCCTGTTTCAGCTTCGACCAATAGCAATTAGCTACTATAATTCAGCTTTTTGACCTGGAGAACCTTCAAACTGGATTCAGATGTCTTCACCAAAGTTGTAGATCTATCTCTTATCTTCAAATTGGTTTAAAAAGTATCTCAATCCGATCATTATAGCTCAAGTTATAGCCGAAATACGAAAATATGTCAAAACTGTCAAAATGTACAAAATCCAAGTAAAAAGTGATAAAAACCTCATTTAATTGAACAAAAGCATTTTACACCAATTATAGCCAAAATGAATTATTTTCTTCCAATAATGTAACTAAAGTGACTAAAAATAATATAAAATATTATACAATTATTACGTAAATTAGTCACTTATCAGGTATGGTTGACAGATGGGGATAAGAATACGAGGTTATTTCATGCTTGCGTGTCTGAACGGCAGAGGAAGTCGGTGATCCATCGAATAAAATCACAACGCGGGGAGTGGCTGGACAGGGAGGAAGATATTTCTGAGGAGGCAGTTTCTTTCTTCCATCACCTGTTTTCGGATCAACCAGGGTTGAGTTCCTCTCCGGTGCTGGATGTGATCCCCAAACTGATATCTGATGAGGATAATCTCGATTTGGAGCGGCACCCCTCTCTTGAGGAGGTTAAGGACGTGGTGTTCTCTTTGGACCCTGACAGTGCTACTGGGCTGGATGGGTTCTCGGGGAGGTTTTTCACCTATGCGTGGGAGATTGTTGGAAAGGATGTGTATGACGTAGTAGGTAGCTTCTTTGCTGGTTTGGAGCTGCTAAGGAGCATAACGGTCACTTTTATCGTCCTCATCCCCAAGGTGGGCTCTCCTCAGGATTTCTCGCAATATCGACCAATTAGTCTTTGCACGTTTGTGAATAAGATTATCTCCAAGCTGCTGGCGAAGAGATTAGCAAGGGTGCTGCCGCTCTTGATTTAGGATAACCAGAGCGGGTTTGTTCAGGGGCGGCAAATCTCGGATAATTTTTTATTGGCCCAAGAGCTAGTTTCCGGTATTCGGAGGGCGAATAGAGAAGGAAACGTGATCCTTAAGCTGGATATGGCAAAGGCCTACGATAGGGTGTCCTGGAATTTTTTGATGCAAGTGATGCGTAAGTTTGGTTTCGGGGAGAGGTGGATTGACATGATATGGCGGTTAGTGTCTAGTGTGTGGTTCTCAGTGATTATTAACGGGACACCGAAGGGGTTCTTTACATCTTCCAAGGATCTGCACCAAGGGGACCCCATATCACCAGTCTTGTTTATCTTGAGGGCGGAGGTCTTATCCCGGTCACTAAATGCACTACTGGCAGATAGGAGATTTGTCCCGTTCAAGGTTCCCAGAAGCTGCCCTAACATTTCTCCTCTCGCATACGCGGATGATGTGATGATTTTTACTAGTGGGTTGAAAAGGTCCTTAAAGATGGTCTTGTGCGCTGTGGAAGCCTACTGCAATGTGTCGGGGCAGTAGGTGAACCTCCAGAAGAGTTGCTTCCTAGTACATCGGAGGCTCAACGCGGTTAGGAAGCATACCATCGCCAAGATTACGAGTTTCAAAGAGCAGTCTTTCCCCATTAAATATCTTGGCTGTCCACTCTATGTCGAAAGGGGCAAGTCGATCTACTTCTCGGGGGTTACAGAGTCGGTATCCAAGCGGGTGCTGGCGTGGAATGGTAAGTTGTTATCTTATGGTAGGAAGCTGACTCTTATCAAGAGTGTGTTGGCATCTATACCAGTTCATATTTTGGCTGCCATGACTCCCACGAAGGGTTTCTTTCGACGTCTGGAAAAGATTTTCGGAGGATTCCTATGGGGTAGTTCTGATTATGATTTACGGGTTCATTGGATAAAATGGAGTTCAATTGTAGGCCGGTAGAGGAGGGTGGTGTGGGGATACGGGCTACAGGCGGTCTATGACGCTTTCTCTATGAAATTGTGGTGGTCGTTCCGCCAAAATGTGTCCTTATGGGCACGTTTTATGCGGGGAAAATATTTACGGGGAGGTCATCCTTGTGAAGCTGAACAAGTTAGGGGGCAATCCCACATATGGCGACGGATGGTGATGATCAAAGACCAAACGGAATAGCACATTACATGGGTTTTGGGAATGGGGAAGTGGATTTTTGGCATGAAAATTGGATGGGGCCGGGGCCGGTGTGCGATAAAGTGGAAACTTTTGGGGTACACGCTGTGGCACACTTTGTTGACCAACGCCGGTGGAACGTACACCTGTTGCAGCAGTGGCTGCCTTGGGTTATTGTGTCAGACATCTTACGTATTCCTCCTCCTGTGTCCCGACGGCCGGATTGCATGGTGTGGGCCTTGAGCTCCTCTGGCTCGTTTACAGTTTCTTTGGCGTATCAGGTGGTGAGCCAACCAGCACCTAGGTCAATGTTTTTCGCAAATATATGGCATCCGTTGATTCCAACGAAGGTGTCTTTCTTCATGTTACGTTTGCTGGGGTCCCGACTTCCAGTCATGGAGATTCTTCACCGCTTTCAGGTACATGGCATATCTCGCTGTTGGTGTTGTGAGGAGCCAGGGGCGGAGTCCCTAGACCATATTTTCTACACTGGAGAGATCCCTTCACAGGTTTGGCAGTCATTTGAAGGGAGTGATGGAAGCCTCGGTCCAGCTTTTACGGTATGACATATGCTAGCTAAATAGTGGTTGAGAGCCACATCAAAACCCGCTTTGAAGACAATATATCGGATTCTACCTTGTCTAGTGTGTTGGCATCTCTGGAGGGCTAGGAACATGATGCTTTTCGATGGCAAACGGGTGACAGCGGTTGGCATTCACTTGTGTATACTCTGGGAGCTACGAGAAATTTTGTGTGGGCGGTTTCCCAATCTTGCCTCTGGTGGTTTATCTTGGCATTCTCTTCTTGATTTAGTGGTCAAGAGGGACCGTTCCGGTAGGATTTCCTGGCACAAATGGAGCAGGTCGTAGCTTATGATCCCTAAGTTGAACGTTGATGGTTGCTATCAGGTCAATCCGGAAAGAGCAGGCGAGGTGGTATTTTAAGGGACCCAGAAGGGCGTTTTATTGTTGCCTTTGCGAAGGTGTTTGATGTAGCTAAGAGTTTGCAGGCAGAGCTGAAGGCAGTACTTGAGGGGGTGAGGCTTTGCGTACAACGAGGATTTGCGGAGGTGCACGTGGAGTCAGACTCTTTGCTACTGGTTCGAATGTTCCACGCCGAGGTCGGGATACCTTGGTGGTTAATGCGCGATTTTGAGGAGCTCTTAGCTTTACGGCATCATGTGCGGGTCATGACGCACTGTCTTCGCGAGACGAACAGGTCTGCGGTTGGTCTGGCTATGGAGGGCATTAACTCAGGCAGCAATTGGGTTTTCGAGTCGTGGGGGCAGCTACCCCTAGAGGTTCGCAAAGATATCTCTATGGATCGGCTAGGTGTCCCGTCTAGTAGGATTGACTAGTGCTCGTCAGGAGTAGTGCAGTGACTCATAGAGGTACGGTTTAGGCCCCCCTCCTTGTATCCCGTCTTTTCAGTATGAGCAATAAAATCAAATATTTATTAAAAAAAAATAGAGCTTGAAATGGAATTAAATTTATTTAGTATTTTACCGCTAACAACTTTGACCCCATTTAATGGTTAAAAAAAAATAAAAGAGATGTAGAGATTGGGATTGGTTCCTTAGTGTGAAAAAGGAAAGTTCCTCTAAAGTAATGCTGCGTGAAATTCTGGATGCATATGAAATTAGAAATGTGTTAATTTTGCGATTCATTCTCATTCATAATGAATTTCTTCGATTCTATATAGAATCGCAATTTTTTTCGTTCAGTACGTAAATATTCTTTTTTTGTCATATTGATGGCTTTGCTTTTAAGATTATCTACATGTCGGTGGTTAGTATTATTGACAAGATTAGAGGTCATGGAAAATGTTACTAATTTTAGGAGAAATTATGTATTGTAAAAATGGTTTAATAATTTTCTACTAAGCATAACTACTGCATACAAAAAGAAAAGATATTTTATTTTATTTTGCTTTGATTAGAAGAACTTGTACTGATAATAAAGGAAATTTCAATTCAACAATCAACGTACACATGATTACAGTAATTTTTTAGTCAATTAGACTAATATATGCCATAAAGTAGTAAGATTTAGTCATTTGTGAATTGATCATTTTAACAGTTTACATAACATTCATCTATAAAAAATTATGATTATTATAAAATGACATTTTATAATAATTTACATACCATTTGCCAATAAAAAAAAAGAGTTTGATAGAAAAAATATGGATACAAATCCATAATGTAAATGATACAAAGTATGTTTGAAAGTCACGGAGCTTAATGTAGACACCAAATTTTTGTCAATTTTTAATATTTTCTCAAGATTTTTCTATTTAATGAATTATTTATTTTTCTAGTATTTTAATGTGCATTTTTCTCATTTTTGCAGGTTTGCTTTTAAAAAAAAAAAAAGGGAAAAAAAAAAAAAAAGAAACAACAAACAACAAAAAAAAAACAAACAACAAAAAAGAAAATTAAAAAAATCATCATAATCATTTTCTCTACCAAAACCCCTATTAACCCATTCCATACTCAATTGCCATGCACCTTTCTTTTCATTGGCAGAAGTCATCATTTTTGGAAGATTCAGCACACAAGCCCCATTTGGCTAGAAGTCCCTCTCGGCTCTCTCTGAAAAAAAAAGGAGAAAAAAAACACACAGAAAATAAAAGGGAGGCTCTCGGCTCTCTCTCTGGGCAGGACAGAAGACAAGCCATAACAAGAAAAAAAAAAAAGAAAAACTCCTCTCTCTATTCGGCTCCCTCTCTTTTGCTAATATACACACACAGAATCAAGCACAAGAAAGCAAGCAATCGGACGTGAGGAGATTGGAATTTCATCAACAATTTTAACTAAGGTCATAAGAGGTATCAACACTTCCATTGAACTATTTCCCGTTTTTTTTTTTTTTATCGTGTTGAATTCATGTATTATTGGTTGTTCCTGCTGTTTTCTTGTTGTTGCTGCTGGTGTTGTTGAAATTTTGGGGTAAAGCCATGAATAAACATTAAGGAAAAGATGATTTCTGTGAATGCATGTTAATTGTTTGAAAAAATGCCAAAAAGAATTTTAGGGACTGTTTTGCCTTAATTCAGCCTTTTTATGTTGTTTTCTTGTTCAACTTAGATTATAGTTGTAATGTAGAAGTTATAAGGAGGCTTTTGGCATAATTTTTAAGATTTTTGGTGAAGATTATAGTGTTTTAAAAAATAAAAAACTGGACTGGCTTTTTGCTTTTCGGCCACCTTCGGGTCATCTTTTGTAAAAATTAACTCCGGAAATGGAACCTACGCGAAAAATGGAGTGAGGGGGTGCATTTTGAGAAATTTTGGCGACCGGAGAAGTCACCAGCGACCGGCGACGGCGCCACCGGCGGCCACCATGACTGCCAGCTGAAGCTTCTTCGGTTGGCCGAAGAAGAAGGAAAGGAAACGTATGGGGAAGAAAAGGAAAAAAAGAAAGAAAAGGGGGGGCTTGGGCTAGTGTTTTATTTTTTTTTAGGTGGGCTTGTGGTTATTTTGGTTGGGTTTGGGGAATGGACTTTTGTTTTATTTCTTTTGGGTTCGGTTGGGCTAGAAGGTCAGAGCCCATGCCTTTATTTTGGCTGGATCTGAGTGATAAAAGACGGGCTGGCCTTGTGTTTTGGTTTGGACTTTCAGTTGGGCTTAGGTAGTTTTCGGCCCAAAGAAATAGAGAATGGCCCAGTGACCGGTTTTCTTAAGGAGATCTGCTTACGAAATTGCACTTTAGTCCCTGATCTCTGGATTAGTTTTACTTCGGCCCAGATCATTTTAAATTTCTTTCATGTAGGTCCTTGTAGTAATTGCACTTCGGTACCTGAATTTTATCTTTTATTTAATTTTGACCTCTGAACTTTGGAAAAATATGATTTTTATCCCCGAAAGTTTTTTTTTCAATTTTTGCAATTCAGTCCCTGATGAATTTTGACTCTCTTTATTATGATTGTTTCTTTTCTTTAATAGCTAATTATGCTACTTTTGAATATACTTAATTTGGAATTTTTAGATTTACTTAAATTTCTTTACGTCTGACATATTAGTGTGAATTTAGTACTTGTATTATTATTTTCTTTTTCAATTAAATTGGTGCCATGATTCTTTTGTTCATTGTGAGTATAAATAGGACAATTTGACTCCATTTAGTCACCACTTCAAATGGGAGGTACCCCTATTTTTATTATTTCAATGTCAATTACGTGCTCTTATGTGTTCCTATGTGTTTATATTTTTATATGCTTTATTTATTTGATTTAAATATTCATTCAAGTTTTCTTACATATGTTTTAGTTAATTTTTATAATGATTCGAGAGGCATTTAAATACCTCAAAATGTAATAGATAGGATAATTAGATTTATTTCATTATATTTTTCCTTTCTAGATTGTAGTTAGGCGCTCCCCGATGTAATAGATAGGTTGCGTGTTTATGTGGCTTATGTGTTATGTGTTTTATCCGCTTTTCTTAGGATTTTGGCATCTAGATATTATGTTTACGTGTTATGTGCTACGTGCTCTTATGTGTTTATTTGTTTTAATTTATGCTTTATTTGTTTCGTTATGAATTGTTAATGCATGACGTCACCACACTAGTCCAACGCTAGTTGTGGCTTCTCCCTCCGCTTACTTGCTAGTCCAACGCTAGTAAAGATTTTTAGAAATGGGCTAGTCCAATGCTAGACCCTTTAGGCCGTCTTGCGCTAGATTCATCTTTGTGTGTTATTCACTACATTTTCATGCATATTTTTATTGTTAGGATCTTTTCTCATTCATATGATATCCCCTATTATATTATCCCCTACCCTCTATAGGTGCTAATCATTGCATTTAGAATTGTATCTCATTTAAACTAGTTCATTTGCTTGTTAATGTTAGGATAATTATTTTCAAACATGGGAAATGGGTGATTATAACTTTTTAGTTTAAATACCCTATTAATCCATGTATAAGATAATTATGTCACGAGTTTTTGCCTCCCGTACCCTTTATGTTGCATTCCCTTTTTCTTTGATCACTTATATCTATGTATATAAATTAATTTCTTTTCTTTTCTTTTAATTTCATCATTTGCATACTCGTGACACCTTCAAGGAATTATTTTGGCCTTCGCAATTAATGCGATTGGTTCAATTAAACCCTTGAATGAACATTTTGTCCCTTTCAAAATTTTTAAATTTAGATTTGCATCCATGTAGGAAACATCCAAATATGATAAAATTAAGGGTTAGATTAGGAAAATTTTGACTAAACCTCGCAACTAGCTTAGACTAGGTCGAAAGGGTGCCTTAGGTTTGAGTTGATCGAACTTTTGCCTTCCCTTTCTTCAATCGTAACTCCCGAATTCATTTTCTCTTGTTTTCAAAGACCTGGAGTTGTCAAAAAGGGTTTTATTTTATTTTACTTTATTTTTGGGTTACTTGGTACACCAAAACTCAATACCAAGTGGCGACTCCTATTTTTCTTAAAAACCCTTTTAGACTAAATTTTGGACCCAAATTGTCGCATTTTTTTAAGTCCCATTCTAGGTCCTTGTTCACTTGTTTTTTTTAATAAAATCACATCTTTTATAATACCTACCTTTATTTTTATTTTTCTCGCGAAAAAATGGGGCGCGACACTTAACATATGGGTTATTTGACTATAATTTTCAAAGATTATGCTACGTTAATACAACTTTTATTTTTATACTTGTGACCCAGAAAATAAATTTATTAAAATTTTACCATTTTATTAAATTCATAGGCATTAATATATGAAAATTGTGATGTATAAGTAAGTGCTATTTTATATACAACTCGAAAAATTTGTTGTTATTATAATACAACTTTAACTTTTATACTTGTGACCCAGTAAATAAATTTAGTAAACCTTTATCATTTTATTATACTCATAGGTATTAATATATGGAAATTGTGATGTATAGATAAGTGCAATTCTATATATAACTCGAAAGATTTGTTGTTATTGTCATCCAAACTTTCTAACCTTTCACAAATCCAAAAATAATTCAAATTTTATAATATGACAAATTATTCTTACATATTTTATACGGTCATGTGCAAAAAAAAAATAGTTTTCATAGTATATTTAAAATGCTTAAAACATATAACATTTATAAATGATACATACAATTGTGTATCATACATTTACATTACGAGTAATTACTAACTATAATACTAAGTTTCAATCATTAATAAAAAATCTCAGCATTATTTCAAATAAACTTCCTAATACTTGTTACATATTAGTTTTTTAACTAAAATAGCAAATTTATACCACAAACTAGTAGGTTTTGACCACTAACCAAATTTACTATTCTATCAACAATATTTACTATTAATCTATAAAAACTTACTATTACTTGAACTAAACTTACTCTCCAAAAAGTAAGTTTCGGATATAAAATAGTAATTATTTTCAAAAAAAAAGTAAGTTTCATATTTATTCCAATTTACTTTTTGAGACATAAAAGTTACTAATTTATCGAGTTAACTTACTATTCTTTATGTAAAACTTACTAACCAAATTTTTAGGTACTATCTTATTTAGGTGACCAGTCCAATAGGTAATCAAATGGTCGCTAAAAGTGTTTTTATCTATTATATCAGGTAAAAACAGTTTCGTTACCATAACAATCGTTACTTTAGACTTTTTCATATATATATATATATATATATATCACTTGGAGCAGTTATTTTAATCAGAGTTGTTATTCATTCCTACGTGACATGCTTAATTGAACAGAATTAATGGGTTATAGGTCACTTGGATTTTACCTATATTGAATCCTATTTGGATTGTATTATATATTTAAAAATTATCTCTAATTTTAAAATAACTTTAAAAAATAACTAATTTTATCTTAATAATATCTGCTTTTATCAAATTATTACATAGAACTATAGTAAAATCTTTTCTAAATCACAATTATTGAAAATTTATATATCTCATAAATTACTTACTTTCACCACCATATCGTTGATTAATATTCAAATTATTCATCATCTTTTCCCTTATTATTATTATCTTATAAAATACAAAATTTTAATTATCTAAAAAATATTTATAAAAAAAAGAAAATCCACCAAGTTTTAATATGGGGTACGTTATTTGATGTATACTATATTACGATGAAAGTATGTAAACAAATTTTTAAAAATTAGTAAATAATTGAACATTTAGAATACATTAAGCTTTTAAAGTTAATATGAATGAACATGTAAGATTGTTGTTAATTTTTATATTTAAATTATTCATATTTGTATAAATTCACAATAAATAAATAAAAAAGATCGTGCTAAGACACGGGCAAAATTCTACTTATGTAAGAAGTAAGAAGAATAATCAATTGCAAAGTACCATGTGTTTCATTTCAAGGGTTGACTAGTGAACTTTTTTAAGTCAATTGTCCCATGATCATGGTCTAACCACCCCCCTGAATTTTACTTATGTAAGAAGTAAGAAGAATAATCAATTGCAAAGTACCATGTGTTTCATTTCAAGGGTTGACTAGTGAACTTTTTTAAGTCAATTGTCCCATGATCATGGTCTAACCACCCCCTGAATTTTGGTGATTAACCCTAATTTTAAACTTTACTACTTACCTATTTATTATTAAGAATCCCAACCGCATACTCCTTGGATTTTTATACAATAGGTTGATTGGAAATAATTTGTACAGCACTGGCCTAATGCATGTTGGAATTGCTTGGTTTTATAACCCCAATAATTGCATCTTCCATGACTTCGCCTATCGTAAGTCAAAGGTTTTGCATCACATTTTGCTTAAACAATTTATCTAAAAAAAAAAAATCAAATTGCCCTTAGAATTGAGGACGTTAGACTATACCATAGAGATAAGGTGAAGGATTTTTTTGCCATTTTCCTTACTGGAATAGGGTAAATTTGCTCATATGTCCTTCAGCATTTATGAACATTTTGCTTTGTTTTCAACTTATACTTTCTTCAATTTCAATCTCGAGTAATAATTTTTAATTTAGATTTGGCAGGTTAGTTTCTTGACAAATCAATCATGTATTGACCCATGAGTTTCATAAAATTATCAAACTTATGATGTATAAGCTCTGTGAAGAATGGACGGTATTACATGATTACATCACCAGTAATTGAATGGGATATATACACAGTCCAGTGGTCAAGGGGCTATGTTTTTGAAGGCACTGAAAGTTATTCAATCTGAAATTTTGCCACATCACTTTGGCTAATTCATTTGATTTTTTCTTTTTACTTACTTATAGTTGTCAACTTGTCATTCTGTAACAGAAATATATTTCCAAAATATAAGATGGTAAATAGAAACCAAGTTTCAGAAACTTAATACAACAATTATTGTAATCAGCATCACAATTTCTTAATTAACGTAGCCATTTTTTAGTAAGAAGTCATTTTTTTATTTTTTTATTTTTTTTCCTATGGAGATTTTAAACCTTATAAGAAGAAAAAAGAGGAGGAAATGATTGACAATCAATCAAAGATCTTGCAATTGACTAGTTTTTTTTTTTAATTTAACTAGTAAGTAGTAGTATATAGCACGGCTGAACTGTCCGGTTCCGGAAAATGCGAGGCTGAACATTTCCACCATTATCCAAGTACGGCCCATTTTAACTTGGGCTTAATTTTTTGTACCCATATCAAATCAAGCCAATTTGTGGTGATGGCGTGGACCTAGTTACGTATATTAAAAGGGCCATCTCTTACAGAAGCCAAGTTTTTTGCCAAGTTTGTCTGCTACAAGTTTTTTAGAAACTTTAATTACAGTAATCTCAAAAAACTTTTCAAAGTTTTTAAACTATACACTTCAAAATATTAAAAAAAAACACACTTCAAAAATTTTTTAAAAACTTCTATAGTAAGCTACAATAAAGTTTTAGACAAACACAAAAAAAACTCACCTTCCAAACGGGCATTTAGGATAAATTACTTATTATCCTCGTGTGGTTTTACATAATACTAGATAAACCTCTTAAAGTTTTAAAATGGTCACATAACCCTCGTGATTTTATGTAAATTGTAAAGTAGAAAATAAACATAATGTACAATCAATTACAGTATTTATACCAAACACATTTTAAAAGAGTATGTGATAAAGTCTTAATATCCATGTAACACCCTTATAATTTGTATAAATATTCACTTTACTCCCTTGTGATTTTTACATTTATCCACATAATCTCCCTATACTTTTATACAATGATGAGAATATAAAGACCAAGACCCATTCAAGCACATGGGGAATTGGAAGATTCAAGTGAAGACTAGTTGATTGCACGAATGCTTGAGTTTAGTAGGATTATTTGATTTTCCTCGTTGATTTTGGTTATTTCTCGTTTTAAAAAGTCTAGGTAATTAAGATAGTTTAATTGCGGCCCATTTGTTAGTAAGTAAGGCCCAAAATCTTTCTTAAGTATGTAGGGTAGTTTGGTCAACTTTTGGATTAGGGTTAATGCTTGTAAGGGCTATAAATAGCCCCACTTCCTCTTTGTTTGGGATCAGTTTTTGGCTATTAAATACAATTAGTGAGTTTTCACTTTCTCTTTGGCAAGAGAGTTTCCTTTGAATACTTGAGAATCTTCTCAAGTTATTCACCCGAACTTATCAATCGAGTAACTCCTTGGTTGTGGCGTTCCTCTACTATAGTTTGGTTCGCTAATTCATTAGGTAACGGTTGAATAATATCAATAGTGTTCGTTATCTCGGGGATTAGATTTGGGTCAAATTTCCGCTGCTAAACCGTTGGTGATTCGTTGTCTAGATCGCGTCAAGTGAGTATCACATCATACAAGGGGGGGGGAGAGGGAAGAGGAAAGAGGAGGAAGAGGGAGGGAGGGAGGATGAGTAAGAGGCAGGAGAGAAAGAGAGAGAGGGAGAAAGGAAAGAAAGGGAAAAAAAAAAGTCAGCGAGCCTTGATGCTAGCACCGGTGGAGTGGCGGCCAGTGGCGGCTATTGGTGGAGGACCTGGAGGTGGTGGTAGATTGAGTTGTGGGGAGGAAGAAGAAGAAAGAAGGGAAAAAAAATTTTGTACGTGATTGGCCATTTCAGGTATGCATTTAAAAAAATTTTGGAGAATTTTTTGAGATTATTGTTAAAAAATTTATAGAACAAAAACTAGACAAAAAACTTGGGTTCCAAACAGACCCTAGAATATAATTAGATGACTAGAAGCAACTCACAAAACAAACTAAACACAAGAAGGGAAGAAACAAAAGGAAATTTCACAGCAAAGAATATATGGTCCCAAGTATTTAGATGCCAGAACTTGACACTTGCTGCGCATACACATTTTTTGTGACAAGTAGCAGATCATTTTTCTTAAGCATTGTAAGACCCGGTAAAACTTCAGTATCAATGTCTTTTTTCTTGATCCCAGAAGGCAATTCCCAGTCAAAAGAGTACAGAAGATTGGCAAGTCCAACTTCCACCATTGCTAGTCCCAGAGAATATCCAGGGCAGCCCCTTCGGCCAGCCCCAAATGGTATCAGTTGAAAGTCTTTCCCTTTCATATCTACACTAATATTTAAGAATCTCTCAGGCAAAAACTCATTTGGATTTTCCCAATCCTTGGGATCTCTTCCATTCGCCCAGACATTTGTGTAAACTATAGAATTGGACTGGATTTCATGACCATTTATAATGCAATTTGCTAGTGTCTGTCTTGGAACTGAAAGTGGAGCTGGAGGATACAATCTGAAGGTCTCCTTGACAATTGCCTTGAGATAAGGGAGCTTTTGAATATCATCTTCGTTTACTATATCTTTATTTCCAACTGCACCTCTAATCTCTGCTTGTGCCTTCTTCAATATTGCTTCAGGGCTCTTCATCAGTGCTGCCATTGCCCACATTATTGTAGCTGCAATAGTATCCGACCCTGCACTAAATACATCCTACAATGATATACCGAAACAGATTAGCAAAATGGGATTGATCCAAATTCTTAAAAGGAAAAACAACATGGAAAAATATTTCAAAACATTCCCACATTTCGTTAAATGAATTTCTTTGCCCTTCACCTTTAAAATATTAATTTTACATTTTTTACAAATTCAAATTAATAATATTTGGTCCTTATATAAAATCACTATGTGACCACTTTTTAAAATCACTGTGGTCCTTATATAAATTTTCGACCACTTTTTAATCTAAAATCACTGTGTGACCCACATGCAATTATGTTATATTTACAAGAAGGCTAGATTCCACTTTTTTAATGGCAAAAATGAATACAGATTAAATCAGATCCTACTTTTTTAGATGTAAAAGTGAATATGGATTAAGTCATTTATTTAACTACAAATGAGATCTAACATTTTTGCTTCGAAAAAAATAACAATGTGTGGGTCACATACTGGATTCAAGGTAAAAAAAAACATCGAAAACCTAGGTTGGAACTAAATTTTATCAAATTAATTTTCTAAGGGACTTAAATTTATAATTTCAATAGTGAAGGACGAAAACAATTTATTTGTTAAAATGTGAAGGGTGTTTTGAATGATATTACCAAACAAAAAAGGAGTAGGTCCTTTGAATAGGTAATTAATCACCATGAGCATTGCGTTGATGTGATCTAGCGTTAGATCAAAGGAAGTTGATTGTTCTTGCCGTAATTGAAGCATGATGTCAATGATATCACCGTTCATGGACTCTGGCCTATTTGGATTTAAGTGTTCATTGATGAGTTCTTGAAGAAATGAATCTAACTTACTGCAAGTCCTCTCAAGTCGAGAACGCATCCCATTGAGGCTATCAAGCCAACCAATTGAAGGAATATAGTCTGAGAAAAAGAAACTCACGAATGCGGCCTGCATTTCTTGGAGGAGATCATGGAATCGTCTTCTTTGTTGATCTTCCTCATCATACCTCTTTCTGAAAGCAATTCTACAGATAAGCGTACTTGTAAGTGACAGTAAAGTCTTACTCAAATTCGTCACTTGAGATGAAGACGCTTCCTTGGATATAGTTCTGATCATCCGAGAGACTTCATCTTCACGAGTACCACGAAATGACTGCACCCTTCTGTTGCTGTAGAGATGAAGAACAGAAATCTTTCTCAGCTCTCTCCATTGCTCGCTGTATGGAGAGAAGGCGATATCCAAGCCGTTGTAAGAAAGCATTCGGGAACCTAGGAGCAGTGGGCGACTAGAAAATGTCGAGTCATGGTTTTTCACAACTTCTTCAGCCATTCTTGCGGATGAAACCACAAGCAGTGGAAAGGATCCAAGCTTAAGAGACATAAGAGGACCATATACTTTGGAAAGTTGCCAAAGGTATGTTGGGAAAGGGGTACCGATACAGGCACACAATATCAGAATTAGCCCAGGACAAATTTCTCTTTCCCCAAATACCAGTTAAAATAAGAATAAATCAAATCACCAAATAATAATACCAACAGTGATAATAAAATGCAAGAAAAATAAAGGCACAGGACACCAAGAATTTTACGTGAAAATCCCAAATTGGGAAAAATCACAGGATCTAATCTAGTCAAAAATCTCCACTATCAAAATAACGGAAATACACAAGTCTACCCGAAATATTCGGATGACAATAATATCACCAATTCCAATCAAGCGAAATTGCTACAAAATCACCCCAAAAAACTATAACTGTCAAAGAAGTGGATTTGGAAAGGTGTTACCAAACGAAAAGAAAATCTAAAATCTGAACCTGTAGATGAGTAGAATTTGACGAGAGGATCGCGTGTGTAAAATTTCATCTCAATCGGACTTCAAATCACCTTCCAACTGAGGCCTCAAAGTTGCACAGAATTTTCTCTCTCTGGCTCTCACTCTTTCTCTCTCTTCGTTTCTCTCCTCAAAGTGGTGGCTGTAGCTTTTGTTCTCACATCAAGACCAAAGAATGCATACATCATACGGCTACTCACTTTTCTTTTAAGTCAAATCTTGACTTGAACCTAAAAGTGTTTGGTTTTGTGGTTTGGCCCACAAACCCAACAATCTCCCCGTCCAGCTCATTTGGAAAGTTTCACCAAACCTGCTTCTTGCCTGCAAAATAAGATTTTCTCCTTAGGCAATGTCTTGATCAACATGTCAGCACCATTATCATTTGTATGTACCTTCTCAAGTGTCAACAACTTGGAATCCAGTACTTCTCGAATCCAATGATATCTCACATCAATGTGTTTGGATCGAGAGTGAAATGTAGAGTTCTTACACAAATGAATAGCACTCTAACTGTCACAATAAAGATTATACTTATCTTGTTTCATACCTAACTCTTGAAGAAATTTCTGCAACTAAAGAGTCTTCTTGCATGTTTCAGTGGTTGCAATGTACTCTGCCTCTGTACTAGAAAGGGCGATACACTTCTGTAACTTACTTTGCCATGATACTGCTCCCCTTACAAAAATCATCAAGTACCCAGAGATGAATTTTCTATTGTCAAGATCACCTGCAATATTTGCATCGGTGTACCCATCTAACATAGTTTACCATTGCCAAAACATAAGCACAATTTGAAAGTTCCCTTGAGATACCTGAGAATTCATTTAACAGCATTCCAATGCTCCTTACCAGAATTAGAGAGATACCGACTGACTACTCCAAAAGCATGAGTAATATCTAGTCTGGTGCAAATCATGACATACATCAAACTACAGTCAAGGCATAAGGAACTTTCTTTATGTTTTCTTTATTTTTTTCACTTGTAGGACACTACTTAATGTTCAGTTTAAAGTGACCTGCAAGTGGAGTTGAGATTTCTTTAGCCTTGCTTATGTTAAACCTATTAAGTACTTTCTCAATGTATTTTTCTTGAAACAACCAAAGCTTCCTATTTTGCCTGTCTCGTGAGATTTTCAGTCCCAATATTTGTCTAGCCGGACCCAAATCCTTCATTGCAAAGGATTTATTTAACTCTCTTTTCAGCCTGTCAATCTTCACAGTATCACGACTAACAATCAACATGTTATCAACATGCAGCAGGAGAATAATAAAATCACCATTTTAAAAAATTTTCACATAAACACAGTGATCAAATATAATCCTGTGGTACTCATGGTCTGTCATGAATGAGTCAAATTTCTTATACTACTGTCTTGGTGCCTGTTTCAACTCATACAAACTCTTCTTGAGACGGCATACAAGATTTTCCTTGCCACTTCCTTTTAAGCCCTCTGGTTGCTCCATGTAGATCTCCTCTTCCAAGTCGCCATGCAAGAAGGCTGTCTTTACATCAAGTTGTTCAATCTCCAAATTCAAACCGGCTGCAATACCAAAAACAACTCGAATTGATGACATTTTTACCACAGGAGAGAAAATTTCTTTAAAATCTATACTCTTCTTTTAACTAAATCCCTTCACAACCAATCTTGCTTTGTACTTTGGTTGTGAGCTGTGCTCCTGAGTCTTCAGCCTGTAAACCCATTTGTTCTTCAGAACTCTCTTACTTTTAGGTAATTTCACTAGATCATAAATATGATTCTCATGCAGGAACATCATTTTCTCTTGCATGACTCGCAACTAATCTTCTTTGTTCTCATGCTCTAAAGCCTCACAGTATGACTCTGACTTTTCTCCATCTATTAACAGCAAATATACATGAGGATTATATCTGCTAAAAGGTCTCTTTTCTCTGGTAGATCTCCTAAACTCATCTTGTGGTGGAGGTGATGGAGTAGGTGGCGCCTCATGCTCAGATTCATCAGCAGTAGGATTATTACCATCATTAACATCCTCTCTCTGCTTTGTCTCAGCTCCCCATTGATTAAAATCAACAGGTATTGGAATTGGATCTAGATCTGAATTTGAACTAGCAGGAATATTATCTGAATATTTTGGGAAAAAATCCACTTTTCATCCTCAAACTTTGTGACAAAGACACATTTGGTCCCCAAACTTTTCGTCAGAACACATTGAGTACATGAATTAAGGATTTTTTGCCACATTTAGTCAAAAAATGGAAATTTACTCAATTTGAACGGTGAAGACCACGTGGCTGTTAACCAATGTCCAAATATCAATTTATAACCAACACAAGTCAGCTTTTTGTCGACATTACACAATTCCTTGAACAAGTTGTCCATTTTGGTATTATTTTAAGTTCTTACTTAATGGGCATTACCTATTCAAAATACTAGTTTTTTATGGACATTTTACTCTCAAACATTCAATTTATAATAAATATATAAATATTTTCAAGTAAAATTCAAAAAGTGTTACAGTAATTTCTTACGAAAAAAACTAGTAGATTATCTATTTAACATAAATTAAATATTTTTTTTAAAAAGAAATATCCCGTAAAGTACCAACTCTTTATGGCTTTTCTCGATTACATGAGCCAAGTACCAGGTTTTTATGGGCATTTTATTCTGAATCATTTAATTTATGTTAAATACATAAATATTTGCAAATAAAATTCAAAAAACCATTACACAAATATTTTTATAAAAGGAAAACTAGCATGTTTTGTATTTAATATAAATGAAGTATTTGAAAGTAAAAAAAATTGTCCATAACATACCAGTTGTTTATGAGTTTCTTCTATTATATGAATAAAGTACTAGTTATTTATGAGCATTTTACTTTGAATCATTTAATTTATATTAAATATATAAATGTTTATAAGTGAAATTCAAAAAGTGTTACACTAATATTATTACGAAAGGGAAACTGGTAGGTTTTGTATTTAACATAAATTAAATACGTGAAAGTAAAAAAAGAAATTACCTACTTTTTACTAATTCTTTATGGGTTTCTTCTATTATATGAATAAAGTACTAGCTATTTATAGGTATTTTATTCTGAATCATATAATTTATGTTAAATACATAAATGTTTGTAAGTAAAATTTAAAAAGTGATATACTAATATTTTTACGAAAGAAAAACTAGTAGATTTTGTATTTAACATAAATTAAATACGTGAAAGTAAAAAAAAAAAAAAAATTGTCCATAACATATCAGCTTTTTATGGGTTTTCTCTATTACATGAACAAAGTAATAGCTATTTATAAGTATTTTACTCTGAATCATTTAATTTATATTAAATATACTGGATTGAAAAAGCTTTGTTGAATCACTTCATTAACTCTGCTAATCTCAAGCAGCTTTTCACTTCATTAACTTGGTGGGAAAGGGGGAAATTTCGAGAAGAAAAGCGGTGGGTTAGAGAGAGAGTCAAGTGTGGACTTGTGTCTGACTTGTGTTGGTTATAAATTGATATTTGAACATTTGTTAACGGCCACGTGATCTTCACCGTCCAAATTGAGTAAATTCCCGTTTATTGACTAAATATGGCAAAAATCGTTAATTCATGTACTCAATGTGTTCTGACGAAAAGTTTGGGGACCAAATGTGTCTTCGTCACAAAGTTTGAGGATGAAAAGTAGATTTTTCTCGAATATTTTGAGTTGTCACCTTTATCAATGTCTTCAATGGTTTGATCTTCAAAGAAGACAACATCTCTGCTCCTGATCACCTGCTTTTCAATAGGATCATATAATCTGTAACCAAATCTTCATGTCCATAACTCAAGAAAATATATTGTTTTGATTTTACATCAAGTTTTGACCTCTCATCTTTAGGAATATGAACAAATGCCCGACAACCAAAAACTCTCAAATGTTTAAAGGATATAATTTTTCTCGTCCATACTCTCTCTGGGATGTCACCATCTAGAGGAACTGATGGAGAAAGATTAATCAAATCGACTGCAGTCCTCATTGCCTCACCCCAAAAGGATTTTGGTAACTTAGCATTAGAGAGCATGCATCTGACCCGTTCAGTAATGGATCTATTCATCCTCTCTACTACTCCATTCTCTTGAGGAGTTTTTGGTACAGTCTTCTCAAATCTGATCCCACGAGACTTACAATAGATTTCAAATGGTCCTCTGTACTCACCACCATTATCAGCACGAATACACTTTAACTGCTTGCCGGTTTCTCTTTCAACTTTGCTATGAAAATCTTTAAATACATCCAAAATCTGATCTTTGGATTTCAAGGCAAAACACCAAACCTTTCTAGCAAAGTCATCAATAAAAGTTACAAAATAAGCAGCACCACCAAGAGACTTATCTTTCATATAGCAAACATCAGTGTGCACCAATTCTAACGGATTCAATTTTCTAGATGGAGGAAAATTTTGAAATGCAACTCTATGTTGTTTCCCATAAATGCAGTCAACATAGGGTTTAAGTGCATTACCTCTAACTTCAGGTAG